AAACTTCATTTCAGCCCTTGTATAAATGATCCTCATAATTTAAGCTGGTTTAAGACTATTATATTCTACATCCGTAGACCTCTGCAAAGGAATATGGGGTAGTGTTTTTTCATGTCTTCCTCAGAACCAAGCTTGTTTCTTTATAATTTTGCAACATTTATTTCTATTGTTTTGTGGTTGTTCTTTCTATTTATATTGTTGTAATCATGATTTACATTGTTTTCCATGTTTTGCTTACTTAATCCTACATCAGTTCCTGTAAATCTCTCCATGTTTGTGTTCATCATTTATTACAGCATACTAATATTCCATTCTAGCCACATGCCACAAGTCATTTAGCCACTCCCCAATTTTTTTTTATCATCTTTGCTCTCACAAAAGGATGGTGCAATATTTTGGTATACATAGAGCATGTCTTTTTGTCGATGTCAAGGAAGTATATGCCCAGCAGTGGACTCTCTGGGTCAAAGGGTATGAACATTTTAGTCATTTTACTAAATTAATTTTAATTAAAATATTTAGTAACCTCAGGTGTTAGGGAATACCTTGCTAGCACATGGATTTTGTTACATCATACATATATCACCTTGGGAGAAGCAGGTTCCAGTCCTGGCGCTCACATTTATTACCTGTGTGAAACTGAGTAAATCATTGAACCTTGGTTTTCTCATCTATAAAATGTGCATCAGCTTGTATCACATGAGTGTTGAGCAGAAAGCCTCTTGTAAAGCACTGTAGAAATATGAGTAGTTGCTGTTATTTAGATAATCACTCTCACAAATGCCAACAAAGAGGTCCATTCTGCTAGAAGGGCAGAATGGTAAAGGTTCACACAAACACATTATTCTTCTCTTCTCTTTATCCAGGAATTCATATCATTAGTAAGACTATAACACGCTGACCAACTGCAGGAAATACCTTGATAGATGTTGCTTGAGTTTAATTTATACAAAGAAAGTCTCATCTCGGTCATTCTCAACCAGAATATCATGTCTGGCTGTTTGGGGTATCTTTTAATTGTCTTCATATTCCAGTTGTACAAGTGGTGTATCTAGAGTGCAAAATACCAACAGCTGTGACTGTTCTCTAGGGTAAATGCAAACAATGTCTGTCAGATACCAGTATCGTAGTACTGAACTGATAGTGCTAAGGTGTATTTATAAAGCCAGAATGACGAGGTATGGGTAAAGTGCCTGACAATCATATGAAAATCAACCTAATACTGTTTGTTAAATGCCTGTGACTATTGTGAAACAATTGCAGAAGGTCAGTCTCAAAAAGGACTTACTTTTCTGGAGCTCAAAGAGAGGAGTGCAGAAATAGTTCCTATTCATAGTTCCAGTAGGGTATATTAGAGAAGAATTGGCAGAGATTAGCCCAGTTAGTGAGCACAGCCATAAATAGGTTTAACATATATCTACAAATGTTTTTGGCTATGTCCTATTCCTTTATGAGGTTATGGGCAGCAAGGATAAGGGAAATTACAATGGATTAAAAGTTCCTTTACTGGAAGTCAGGAAGCAATGATGGGAGGATTCCTTTCCATCATGTCATACTATGTAAAACCCCTCCTCTTCACAAGAGTAAAGGCACTACACTACATAACTGTGAAATGACAATAATTATTATTATTAATGATGATGATGATAACCTGATATCTGAAAGACCAAGAAGATTTTTTTCTGGGAAGGTACTAAGTAAATGGTGATTATGGAAAATAAAACTAACTCAAGGGGATAAATTTAACTCCTAAAATTTTTAAATTATTTTTATAGAAGAGACTATAACATGCAGAGCCATAAAATTAAACTTTATGTCTTCCAATGCCCCATTTTACACACATAATCATCCAAGAAATCTAATTTTTCATGCTTTGGGACAGATTTGCTGTTATAACAGATTACAAAATAACAACTCTCTGGTTCTCCAAACTTGTAGTATGAGTACAAATAAATTTGTCTTACTATTCACCTTCCTGAATGCTGCTTTTGTATCCAAAGTTCTAGTCAATTAAATTCATATTTTTATTTTTATTTTTTTTGGCTAGGCAATGGGGTTAAGTGACTTGCCCAGGGTCACACAGCTAGTAAGTGTTATGTGTCTGAGTCTAGATTTGAACTCAGGTCCTCCTGAATCCAGGGCCGGCGCTCTATGTACACCGTGCCACCTAACTGTCCCTTAAATTCATATTTTTAAAATTTGTCTCAACAGCCTGAAATTATGTACAGAACCCAACAAGATTAAATTTAATGGTTATAAATATAAGTTCTTGTCACATAGGTTCAAAAAGTCAACTGTACAAATATAGAATAGAGAGGCTACATCTTGACCACAAATCATGTAGGGGAAATAAACTTTAGTTAACCCCAAATTTGTAAAAATGTCTGGTAATGGCTACTAAACAAAATGTAGACTATATTAATAGAAGTATATCTGCAATATTAAAGGTAATAGTGTTATACTACATACTGATCATATCATAGATATAATACTGTTCTCTACCCTGGGTACCAAAGTTTAAGAGGAACTTTGCAATTATGTCATATAAGAAACAACTGAGGGGACAACTAGGTGGTGTAGTGGATAGAGTACCAGCCCTGGAGTCAGGAGGACCCGAGTTCAAATCCAGCCTCAGACACATAACACTTACTAGCTGTGTGACTCTGGGCAAGTCACTTTAACCCAATTGCCTCACCAAAAAAAAAAAAGAAAGAAAGAAACAACTGATATTATTTCTGGTATGACTAATAAAGTGTTGGAATTGGAACTAAAATACATTTCTTCTACAATGTAAAATGTTAGGGTCTTTCAAAAAATTCCAGAATTTGAAAATGATGGAAAATAAGCTTTTATGAAAATATAGTCTTAGAGAAAGATAATATGGCTCCTGAAACTCTTCAAAGTGATAAATCTTCACCTTTCAATTATCTTTTAGGGTCTCATTTCTATCTGATCATATCACCCCTTGGGAAGGACATTAGTTTCCTTATCTGTAAAATGAAGCAACTGAACTAGACAGCCTCTAAGATCACTTATAATTCTAAAATTTCTATGATTCTAAGTACTTTTTTTAAATTTTTGTTTCAAGAAACATTCTTCCTTTCACTTCTTGGCTATTCTAAGAGCTTTGTTTATTGCTTTAGCAGCTCTAGGCCCTGAAGGTCTCTTGATACTACACAGTGCCCGTCTTACTGTTTCCCTTTCAATGACTTACTTATTCATCTGTATTAGATCTTTTCTTTTTTTCTTTGCCCTCCATTATTGCTCACCATGCTGTTTTTATCTACTTCCAAAATGCTTTGCTTTGTACAATTTAAGCACAAAGTATCTGACTTATCATCCTTTGACTTCTTCAAGAGTTTTCATTTACTCAGTGCCTCATTTTTTGGCAAGGCACGTTACTAGGCATAGTTTTCCATTTTCCACAAGTGGATTAGACTTTATGTAATTTAAAGTAATTTGAAATATAAATATCTGGAGGGTTTAGCGGACTGCAAGCTCAATATAAGACATGATAGCCAAAAAAAACTAATGCTCTGGAGAGCTGTATTAAGAGAAGCAAAAAAGTACAGAATAAGGAAAGTGATAATTCTGCTATACTCTGCTCTACTAAGAACATATCTAGAGCACTGTGTTCAGTTCTGGGTGCCATTTTTTAAGGAAGGACATTGATAAGCTAAAGACCATTATGAAAAAGATCACTAGGATGGTTAAGAACCTTGCCACCACACCTCTCAAGGTTCAGTTGAAGAAACTCAAATGTTTAGCCTAGAGAAAAGAATTTTTTAAAACAATCTACTAGGGTGGAGAGGCATATAATTTCTGCTATGAAATTATTGATTTCATAGCAATCATATATTTGAAGGATTATCATATGGAGGCAGTTTTAGATATCTTCTTTTGGAAGAGGACAGAACAAGGAACACTGGGGAGAAGTTACAGAGAGGCAGTTATAAACATGCTGACTTGTACATATGTCTAGAAGTAAACTGAATTGCCTGGGCCCTCCTCACTCAAGTCTTCACACAAAAGTGAGGTGATCACTTTTCAGGTATATTGTGAAGGGCATTCCTCTGTAGGAATGGATATGACTAGAAAGCCTGTGAGGACCCTTCTAATACACATTTTGGGATCTGCAGACAAAGAAACTATGGGCAATACTGAAAAATAGAAAACCCAGGGAAGGGAAAGCACATAATGTCTGTCTATTCAAGGGCTGTCATATGAAGCAGAGAGTAAATTTATTCTGTACTGAACCAGAGGAGAGGCAATGCGGCATCCTCAAAGCCAGGAAGTTCTCGGTTCAAATTCTCCCTCTGACATCTACTGGCCATGTGACCATGATCAAGTCATTTGAAGATCAACCTATGTTATTAGTAGAGAGGATATCCACATGCATTCATGCCCTGAAATAATCCAAACACAGGTCTATTTCTTATCCCAAGTGATCCAAGACAGAAACAGGTGGAATTTATAGGACAGCGGATTTTGGCTCAATTTGAAGAAAATGTGATTATAGTTAGAGCTGTCCAAGAGTAAAATGGGTTGCCTTGCAAAGTAGGGAGTTCCTCTTCATTAGAAATATTCAAGCACATGGCCATCTGTCAAGAAGTTATGAAAGGGATTCCTGCATCAGTCAGGAGCTTTGGACGAGATGGCCTATATAAACACACTAGATTCGTTGTGTTTACCTCACCAAGTTGCATATTCCTGGTTCTCCTCTTCCACCTCCGCCCTTCCACGTCCCCTGGAATTTATAAGAGATGGTACCAAAACTTAGCTTGTGGGAATATTACGGAAGTGAGCAAATTCATAAAATTCTAGATTAAAGACCTGATAATTCATCCTCACCAGGGCCTGTGTCCTAAGAAGATTCTAAAGACTGATCTGCATTTACTATATCCACTCCCCCATGCTTCTTTCAATGCTGTTTGGAAGGACCCCAGAGCTAACGTTATAGCCTGTAATCTCTCATGTTGTTTGTCTTTTTCTCTGTGCAGGTGGATGACAGGGCATTGGAGTGCCTGCTCAGCAACCTGTGATAAAGGGATTCAGCACCGGGAGGTGACTTGTGTTTATCAATTGCAGAATGGTACCTATGTTAACACCAGAGACCTCTACTGCCTCAGCCACAAACCAACAGCAGTTCAAAGTTGTGAAGGCCGTGACTGCCTTTCCATCTGGGAGGCATCGGAATGGTCAAAGGTAGGTCCTTGCCTCCTTATTTAAAGTAACAAACCTAGCTAGCTATGTCTCATAAACAGGAGTCCTGATTGAATCAAAAATTGGGCACAAATCTGGAGAGAGCTGAATCTGGCTATTTGGCAGTCTAGCCTGTACCCACTATATAAATCCCATCACCCTTTATTTTCCCTTGTTCTTCAGTCATTTCAATTGTGTCCAACTCTTAGAGACCTCATTTGGGGTTTTCTTGGCAAAGACAATAGAGTAGTTTTGCCATTTCCTTCACCAGCTCATTTTACAGGAGAGGAAACTGAGGCAAACAGGGTTCAGTGACTACAGCTAGCACGTGTCTGTGGCTGGATTTGAACTCTGGTCTTCCCAACTCCTGGCCTGGCACTCTATCCACTATACCACCTGGCTGCCCCTGTGTCATACACAGAACCAATAAAGTAGAGATTTTCCAGACTAAATGAATAATTACTCCTTTGCCGATGGAAGAGGATCTTTAATTTAACTTTATAGACTGTTTCTTTATACAAGTCTTAAAACTTAATGCTGATTTAAATCAACTGTAATTGTGAACTATTTTCAAATGTAGTGTTCTTTATATATGCTTGCTTATATTTAGCTTAAAACAAATGGTTTTAGGAACAAGGAACTGTGTAAAGAATCTTAGGCAAGTCTTAAATGCTGAAAATTAAGCCAACTCAACTTAAAACTTTCCTCAGGGTTCATCCCTTATGACAATGCTTTAAAATCTGACATCTCTATTTATATGAAAGGAAAAAATATTCTGCATTTTCTATTACCTTCTAAGGATTACAAAACACTTCATAATTAATAGTTCCATAATTTTTGCAATATTTCTATGGTATAAGTAGATGACATCTCACTATTGAAGACAATGTGGTAAAGAACTTGAAAGACATTATCAGTTTCTTAAAGTGACTCACAACCAACCCAAGAATAGCATCCAAATCTAATGATACTCTCCAAAGTCCCATTCCTTGAGTCAGCAGAGAGGAGTGACCTCAAGATACAAATTAAAGAATCTAAGACTGAGTACCATGTACTTTCTGGGAACTCAATAAATATAGCCTAAATGTCCAGAAAACTATTCTAACTTCTATATAATAATATTAAAAGAAACTTTTTTTCCAGGATAGGTTTCTTTTTATTATTTTAAATCTACTTAATTATTCATTCTTCTCTTCCTTCATCATCTTTACTGCTGTCAAGTAGGCTTTAAAACAATCTGGTGCCCATAGTGCTGGTTCCATATTGTTATACAGTAATGATATTATTATGTATTATGCTACAGAGTTGTTTGTACATTGTCTCCCCCAGTGATTAGCACCAAGCCTGGGAAATATTAAGTGCTTAATAAATGGTTGTTGACTGATTAAAAAGGAAGGAACCTATGAATTAAAAATTTGGAGTTTTAGTCCAGCTTCTGGAACCTTGGGAAAATGACTGTAGAGTATTTGGGGCTCAGTTTCCTCATGTATAAAATGAAAGTACTGAACTGAAATAAAGGCTGTTGACCGGGGGGGTGGTGGAGAGAGGGTCTGTGAAGTTGGTTTTTAATATAATTGATTTCTGTTTAAATTTAGATATTTTGTTTTATGCATTTAAAAACATTTTTCTGAAAAGAGGTTTCATCAGTCCACTGAAAAAGTTCATGACACAGAAAGAGTTAAGAAACCCTGAAGAGGTTCTCTCAAGGCCCTTCTGGCTCAGATATCTGAGATTCTTTGTTTATTGCAAAAAGGTTCGACCCTTGCTTTTGATATCCAAGATATTAGGAAAGTTTACATTTGATTCCTGTTTTCCTTATGTATATAAACTTTCATAGAGAATCATCCTGAAAAAATTGGTTTAGGAGATTTTGCTTATGTCCTATGGTACTATTTTTATATTGCAGCAAGTTGAAGTTAGAAGGGTCAGCTTTTCAGTGTGTAAGTCAGAACTACAAATTGTATGGCTATAAAAAAAATCCTGGAAAGAGATCAATTATGTCTTAAATTTAAGCCCTGAATACTGATTCTGGAAATACCATTTTGTCATTGGTTATATTGTATTCAAAAGCCACACTTTACATTAATGATTTTGATTTTTTGGCTACAAAACAAAAAAAATAGTTGAATAAAGTGCAAACTCTACTCCTCCATCAAAAGTACTTCTTTTTTTCTTTCTCAAAAAAAGCTAAATCCAAGACAGTCTTTAGTGTGGAAAATATTTTTAAGGTTCCTTTTTGTTTTTTGCCAAACAGTTGGAATTATTTTGGATAAAAAAAGTACTCAGCCCATTTTTAATGAACGAAAGGACAGAGAAGAACTTGCAAAAGATGACCCTTTTCTGACTGTTGAGGAGATGAGTTTGAGGCTAAAGCAAAACTTTTCCGGTGTGCAATATTCTTACTCTGCTGCAATGAATATATCCCTGAGTTACCTTTTAAGTTAAAAGTAACTCATCATGATATTTTAGGAAAAGGAATAAAGTAGAACATTTGGTTCTGTTGCTTTATATGTTTGGTTTTGCAAACTCAATATCCTCCTAGAATCTAGGAGAATATTATTCTGAAATATAAGTTGTGCCATCATCAGCTAAGTTGGTAGTCCAAACAAAGTCTACTTATGTCTTTTTTTTTTTACTGAAAATCTAGCTGCTCATCATAAAAAAGCTAAATATATGCAAGCATATATAAAGAACACTACATTTGAAAATAGTTCACAATTACAGTTGATTTAAATCAGCATTTAAGTACAATTTGGTGCCTCTCTCACTAATGTTTATTTCACTCACAGTTCAGTCTAGTCCTGGTTATATAAAAGTTTGTTTGGAATTCTTTCTTCTAATTCCCCCTTCAATTTTGGACAAAAACCATAGATTTTTACTTCACAAGGTCCTTTTGCGGCCAGTGGCTTTAACTGTCTCCTACTGACAGTGTTGTGTTGGTTGGTTGGTTTTTATTAGACCTGAGCTGATGATGCTTAGCTTTCTTTCTACTTCACTTTCCCAATCTTTCTCTAAGCCCAAACAAGAAAAAAAAAGAGAGAAAAGAGACAATAATTCTTCTCTAGTGCCCTATTCATAGGGTATAAGAAAACAGAGGAAAAATAGTCAGTGTTTCTGTTTATAAGTGGCATGATGGCCTATCAGAAGAAGCCTTCTGACTTCCTCTTTATGGTATTTTTTACTTATTAAAAGCTCACAGTTAAAAAGCACTTTAAAGGTTTGCAAAGCTCTTTCCTCATAGCCCAGGGAGAGTGGTTGTAAGTACCCTCATTTCACAGCTGAAAAACTGTTCACAGTCACACAGCCCATAAATGTCAGAGTAGGGATTTATTTAATCTAACTGGTCTAAGATTCTCCTCCCTTTCCATACCTTTTGATTACACCTTCTTTAGCTAAGTCTAGGGAGAACTAGTAATTTTCATTCTGTAGTCTTTTTAACCACAAGCACGCATAACAAATCAAGCACACGCTTGACGTCTGATACAGAGTTTGTCTTTACAAGTATCTCAGCTTATTACAGAAACTTTTCTAAAAATACTGGAATGTCAGAACAAGCCATCTTTAATCAATATTGTTACCTCCTGTCACATCACTCTGTCTTAACCCTTCTCAGCCTATTTTACATCTTCACCTGTACCTCCAATCCCTCAGTACTCTCCCAGTACACCACCTTTTTCCAACTCATATTCTTCTCTTCCTAGCCTTCACCCTATAGTTAACCAGTTTAACTCTACACTGTCCTCTATTCTCAAAACACTTGCCCCCCCTTATTTGGTCAGTGTTTGCACCTTTCCAGACTGGAACCCTGGATCCCTCCAATCATCCGGCAGCTCTGCTCCTACTCACCAGCTGCTGAATAGAACTAGGGGATGTCATGTCATCAAACTGACAGGGTCCTCTACAAATTTATATTTGCTATCTCAACTGGGCACTCACCATGGCAAGGCAATTCTTTTACTACTACCTAATCAATTCTCTATCACTCACCACAGAGATTCCAAACCTTCTCTTCTCAAGCCTGCCACATCACCCCTTTCCCCACCCTCAGGACTGAGAACAACTCATTATTTAATGAGAAAATACAGACCATTCTTCATGAGCTCATTTTCTCCCCCTTTTCTACATCTCAAAATCCCTTGATAGCATTTTGATATCCCTTGATAGATATTTTCCCCTCCTTTATTTCAATCTCTGATGAAGAAATTTCCTTTGCTCTTGTTCTCTGCATTTTAACCTTGATCCTGTCCTCTCCCATCTTCTCTTGAAGGCTGCCCCCACTATGATCCCCTCTCTCTAATATTCATTCAATCTCTCCCTCTCTATTAGCTCCTTCTGTAATAACAAAACTTCTTGTATTAAAAATCCTCACTAGACCATGTAATCCCCTGAAGCTATTATCCGATGTCTTTGCTCAATATCACAACCAAACTGCTAAAAAAAGCTATCTATACTCCTTGCCTCCATTTCCTCTTCTCTTACTCACTCCTGAATTCTCTGGAATCTGACTTTTGACCTCATCATTCAATTGAATATATTCTCTTCAAAGTTACTAATGGTTTCTTAATTGCCAAATCTGATGACCTTTTCTCAGTCTTCAACATTTTTGTCCTTTCTGCAGTATTTGACACCAAATTGCCTTCTGGTCCTGGCTACTCTCCCTTTCCTGCATTTTCACGATCTCCCTCTCTCTCTCTCCGTCTCTCCATCTCTTTCTCTCATTCTCTCTCTTTTTCTTTTACTTTTTCTCATTCTCTGTCTCTGTCTCTCTCTGTCTCTGTCTCTCTCTCTCTCTCTCCTCCCACATCTCTGACCACTTCTCAGTCTCTTGCTGGTTCACCATTTGTATCACGCCCCCTAACTGTGAATGTACCCCAAGGCTCAGTCCTGTACCCTCTTCTCTTCACTTAGTGATTTCACTAGCTCCCATGACTCTAATCATCACTATATAAATGACTGATATGTGGAAACAGATATAGATACAGATCCCTAGTATTTCTCCTAAA